AAGTTCAAAACACACACCTGGGAGCAATCTCCTGGATCACCAAGACCAGTGCTCTACTATCAGAGGCCACATCATCTTTTACACGCAGCTAACCTTCAAATGGATTTGAAGTTGAAATACTGATTTCTCAGATGTAGTAGACTGCAGGCAATCTTCTCTATGAATCGGCCTTGCTAAATTAATCCTGATTTATGCTATGCTATTCATGCAGTGTAATAAGTAGGCTGCTAAAAAAACCCAACAACTCAGCCTGCATGGTGAAATCAACAGGACTAATGGGTCTTTATGCAAAGGTGTTTCAGACTTTTTTCAGCACTTGGAGAAGTTGATTAAGAACAGGCAGCATGGGTTCACCAAGAGCAAGTCATGCCTGACCAACCTGACTGCCTTCTATGACGAGATGACTGGCTCTGTGGATGCGGAGAGAGCAGTGTATGCGATATACCTTGACTTCAGCAAGGCTTTTGATATGGTCTCTCACAACATTCTTGCAAGGTTGCTAAGAAAGCATGGGTTTTATAACTGGACTGTAAGGCAGACAGAAAACTGGCTGGATCCTCAGGCTCAACGGGTAGCAATCAATGGCTCAATGTCTAGTTGGCAGCTGGTATCAAGTGGAGTGCCCCCAGGGCTTGGTCCTGGGGCCAGTTTTGTACAATATCTTCATCAATGACCTGGAAACGGGGATGGATTGCACCCTCAGCACGTTTGCAGATGACACCAAGCTGGGGGGAGTAGCAGATATGCTGGAGGGTATGGCTAGGATTCAGAGACCTAGACAAATTGCAGGACTGAACCAAAAGAAATCTCATGAAGTTCAATAAGGACAAGTGCAAAGTCCTTCACTTAGGACAGAACATCTCGTGCACCAGTACAGGCTGGGATCAGAAAAGGACCAGGGGACAATAAGCCTAATACAAGCCAACAGTGTGCCCTTGATGCAAAGGGTAAAGGCATACTGAGCTGAATTAGTTGAAGCATTGCCAGCAGATCAAGGGAAGCAAGCCTTCTCCTCTATTCAACACTTGTGAGGCCACATCTGGAGTATGGTGTCCAGTTTTGGGTCCCCCACTACAGAAAGGATGTGGACAAGCTGGAGGGTGAACAGCACAGGGCAACGAAAGTGGTTTGAGGGCTGGGGGACATGACTTCTGAGGAGAGGCGGGGGGAACTGCGCTTATTTAGTCTGCAGAAGAAGACTATGGTGGATTTAACAGCAGCTTTCAACTCCCTGAAGGGGGGTTCCAAAAAGGATGGAGCTAGACCAGGGGCGGGTAAAGTCCGGCCTGCAGATCGGGTTGGGCCTGCAGTGGACTCCATTTCCCAGCAGCACCTGCCTGCATTGCTGCAGCTGGTTTCCATGGAGATCCCAGGAGTGACAGGGCTGTGTCAGCGTGAGGCCAGGGTTTCCATGGAGACCAGCCCCAGCGTTGGCAGGGCATGCAGCTGGCAGGGAGCTGCCTTGGAGCTGGGCTCTTGCGGCAGTGACAGCATGGTCCGGAGCTGGGGCAGAGCTGTGATCTGCTGGCCACATACCCTGGGCAGGGGCATGCAGGTAGTGGACTGGGGCTCTGCCCTGGCTCCAGATCATGCTGTCACCACTGCAAGACCCCAGCCTCGGAGTAGCTCCCCGCACAGCCACAAGCCTTGCCAGCACTGCTGGGGCCGATCTCCTTGGAAACCCTGCTGCTCCTGGGGTCTCCATGGAAACCTGCCACAGGGATATGGGCAGGGGCTGCTGGGAAATGGAGTCCAGGCACCAGCCAGATGTGTCATTTTGCACACCCCTGAGCTGAACTGTTCTCAGTGGTGGCACAAGGAGCAATGGTCTCAAGTTGAAGCCAGGGAGGTTTAGTTTAGATATGAGAAAAATCTCTCACTAGGAGGGCGATGAAGCACTGGAACAGGCTCCCCAGAGAGGTCATGGAGTCTCCATCCTTGGTGGTTTTTAAGCCCTGACTAGACAAAGCCTCGACTGGGATGATATAATTGGGGTGGTCCTGCTTGGAGCAGGGATTGGACTAGATGTGACCTCCTAAGGTCCCTTCCAACCCTCACAGTCTGTGATTCTATGACTGACACCTGTCAGCAATGCACTTATACAACAGCAACTTTTCAAAAGCTATCCTCAAAACTTCTTTAAGTGACTTGCAGCTATCTGAAGCACAGGCCTGGAAAAAGGCAGATAAAATCTTGATTTACAGCAGGAGTTATTGGAGAAAAAAAATAGTTAAAATATTTCAGTGAGTCTAAGGTCAGGAAATCAGTTCAATATCAACAGTAACCCCATGAAGTTGTGTAGCTCCTAAGCTTGCTATGTAATTATTTGCATTTTTGCATATTATTAAGTCTCCTCACAATGGAAACCAAGGCGTCTTAATGTTACACAGCAAAGTGACGCAGATTTTTCTTGTTCTTAATGTAGAGTCTTTGCAGGCTACCTTAGACTAAATTTCAGGAAAGTCTCCTTCTGTTGCAGCTCTGACAAGATTAATATAGCCAGCGCGCACAGGACTCCCTACCAGGGGCAGTTCTATGCCCATCGTGGTAAGAAAAATCTACAGCTAGCGTAAATTAACATTCCCCTGTTCATTTCCCTATAATTCTCAGTGCAATTCCCCTTGGGGAACTTCCCGGTAGTTGCACAGAGTCTGAGCACCAAGAAAAACACGTGCATCATTGACGTAAGTAAATAGCACAATTAAAATTTTAGCTTTCTTTGCCATCCTGTGTCTGGAGGATCAGTGGCCAGATGTGGGGGCACTTCATTTGGCTGATCTGAATCTTTCTCACTTTCTTGCCTCGCTGTCCAGCAAGTTATCTTAGCATAATATCTTAGTATAACACAGACTATGCCAAGATTACTTTTTTTTTTTCAAAGCTATGTAGAACTACGTGGTGTGTGTATGCATGCAGTTGTAACTTGAATTGGCAATAAAAGCTGAAGCATTTCTTGACTATTTCTGAGTGTACAGTTAGCAATGGTGAAGTGCCGCAAGGGTCAAAGAAGGAACAGCGAGCAGCTAAGTGTGGGTACAGCTAGAGCATAACACGAAAGATTCCAAGATTTTTTTTTTTGATAAGGAGTGTCAAAATAGAAAAAAACAAGATAGATGCATGGAAAAGGTACATCGTCTTAGAGATAATATAAAACTTATCATCAAGGGCTTTGTTTCAGGAAAAAAACAACCCTGGAAATAAGCCATTTAAATATCACAGGATATATGCCTAAAGCAAACATTAGGTTTTGCTAATGTCAAAGCAGGGTTCTGAAATCTCAGACACAGCTGAACCAAAACTTGGATGGTCTGAAGCAAGAATTCATTGGCCCGAATCTGTACTGCTACTGGCCCTTTTAAAAAAACCACTGCAAATAGATGTGGGTTTTTATCAAATAATCATTTAAAAACATTACCATGAAAAGCAAAAATTGAAACCTGGACATCAAGATAGCTGTGCAGCGCTAGCAAACAGTCCCTTGTCCATTAAAAAAAGTTTAATTAAGACAGCAGCTTCCAAATTCATATTTGGAATATGATTGCAAGATCAGATTTTAAATTTTAAGGTCAGAAGGGAGAAGCTGCATGCAATGATTCAACAAGAACTCTATTGCCATGAAGTAATAAGAAAACCTCACCAAGCAAGGCAGTACTTTTGACACCAAACCACAACACACACAGTGTAAACCACCCCCTTTTCCCAGTACATTTGTGCATCTTTCCTGATGATGACTATAAAATATAAAACACTCTATGCTGTCCAAATGTCCTCAAAGAATCATCATCTAAAAGGATAACTGCAGTGTTGTTGCCAAAACACGAAAAATTAAACAGCTATTAATGGCAGCAAAGGCAGTGGTCATAATATTTCACTTATCCAATTTATGGTGACATTTGTATTTATTTTTAACACTGAGGATATGGAAATGCTTTATTTTTTTTATTACTAAACACACTACAGGGTTTTCAAGAGACTGCACAGAATTTTTGTAAAAACTAAATGAACAACATAGGACCTTCATCAACCAGGGTTTTTATCCCCTCTCTCTTGCTGACTAACTGCAAGATATGGTTAAATGTGATGGCAAGCAAGAAAGCATAGCTATGTTTTTAAAACAACTTTAGCATTAATAAGGCCACATCATCATCTCTCTGAATCGCTGTTAAAAACCAATGAACTGATAATGCCCCACTTCCTAGTTTCAATTTTCCTACAAATACCTGTGGCAATGTTACCCACTCTTTGATCTGCTAACCCAGTTCATGTTTAATTCAGAGTAATGGACTGCATGTTAATTTACTGCTGGCATGCAGCATTGCACTCAAGAACTTTCACATATTTATTGTTGCCGCTGCATTATATAATGTAATGGGATGATGCAGAACGTTGGTTTAATACGTCGTGTTATCTGCAAAACAATTCAAAATGAGGGGGGAAAGATGCAAATAGAAAACAAACCAAAACAATTATTTCCAACACTCTGAATCCAGATTACATCATTCAAATATTGTAAAAGCCTTAATCTGCCTGTCTTTCTGTCTGTCTGTCCATAACGATTTATTCGCGCTCTGATTGGCTGACTGAAGCTGAATAAATGTTCGGACACGAGGCGGCGGCACAATCGCAGGGACAAAAGGAATGGAGCCGGAGGGGAGGGAGGGCAGCTGTCCTTGCCCCGCAGCCCTGCTCACGGTAGGTGGCCACAATGAAACTGGGGGGGGCCGGGCCAGGCCCGCTACTCCTGCCCCCTCCCCCACTGCGGCGAGCTGGCTTCTCCGCACTCTCAAGCTTGAGAGTGCGGAGAACTCCCTACTTGAGAGCACGGAGGCGGAAAGGGATCTTG